CCCTTCGAGGCCGCGGGGGAAGCGAAGCTGATGGAGGCCCTTCCAGGCAGCAGAGGTCAGGGTCCTTGTTTCAGTTCGTCCCTCCTTTCTCCTTCGTCAGCTGCTCCTTTCCCTCGCGTCCCTTCCTCTGCAAAGCGCGGGTGGGAGGGAGGGCTAGTCCTATTTTATACACATCACAACAGCCCTGTGAGGTAGCTCAAGGTCAGCGGAGAGAACGACCGGACCCCCCTCTGTGCAGTGAGTTCCTGAAAGGGAATTTTATCCGCAGTCCAAACGTGAGCTTCGAGCTGCAGTGGTGCCACTTTGGCTTTTGCTAGTCGCCCCCTTCCCTCTTCTTGCTCCCCTCTTAGCTACAAAAACAGCAAGAGCAGAATGCTGCTCAAAAGCATAGCGTAAAAGCCACACAAAGAAATGAGCCGGCTTCTGAGTTTAGCAGAACTCTTGGGCAGTGTGGTAGAAGGGTGATGAATAGGTCCAAGGTCACCCAGTGGGTGTTATGAAACACGCGGGCGTATGTACCCAGGTTTTCTTACTCCATGTCCATCTCTCCACCGAGTCTTTTATTTACTTTTCTGCTGTCTCCTGGTGTGGAGTGTTCTGTCATTGCTGTTGGGCGGCTTAAGCATGTTAAGTTTCTACTTACTAGCCCACATGTCCATGCAAGCAGTCAATCAGGATCTTGGTGGTTAACAATGGATGCTGTTATAACTGTAGCTAGTTTTGTCTATAACAACACACTTAGTTGTTTTTAGTCAGACATTTCATATTTGTGGCAATATTTCCGTATCTCTGCTGAAAAGTTTATGAAACACTGAAATGCTTGTGTGTGTCAACACCTGTATAGAGTAACTTTATCATGTGTAGAGCTGCTTTCAGCCTCAGGTAATTTGTGTGATTATGATTTAAACATGTTTAAAATATTTTCACACTGTCTGTGATAGTTTTATTTTAGGTATATTTTCAAACAAATATTTCATGTAAGCAAATAAGTAAAATAATGTATTTTCAACTCTACGTATTTGAGATGAAATGTGATGCATGGCCATTTGTAAATATAAATAAAAGCAGAGAACTCACATGAACTGGTGGTCAAGAGAGTGAGATTTCTGAGAGAGAAGTATTATTTAATGGGCAGACACTGCTGGCATCTATGTTCTCTATGCAGGTGGTATTTCTCTGTCTCCTTTGGCACTGAGAGAGAGAGCTATTCTGTTGCAACCATTCTGTACTTTTCTCCAGATTGGTGTATGTGTGTGTACTTAAGCTGGTAAATTGTTGATTACTTGTGTGGGCATGTGTGTGTGTGCTTTGAAAAGGAGCTCATTTATTGGCTGCCAGTCCTTAAGTTTTCCAGACAGCAGTAATACATATCAGTATCATATTGGGGTAGTTATAACGCTTCATAAACTATAAATTCTTAGCATAACACAGAGCTTCCTACGTGAAGAGCCTACACTAACTTCTGTTTCTATCTGACAGCCCCTGGCGGATTGTGGATGACTGTGGTGGTGCCTTTACTATGGGGATGATTGGTGGGGGTGTCTTTCAGGCAATCAAAGGCTTCCGCAATGCTCCGGTGGTGAGTTTTACATTTTTATTTTATTTTTTGCTTCCTTTAAGCAGCAATTGATGAGGAAATGGAGTCTTTGGAATAAGAATCCTTGTTCGAGTGATATCCGCTGTCATAAATTTAGAGACAATGCTGGAATTTACTTTAATATATAGCACTTTGTTTTGTGATTTAGCAATATGAAAAAAAGGTTGATTGCATCCATATGTGGTCTTACTGCTTTGCAGTGTTGTCACTTGTTACTGATTGAGCATGGAATTTCTCTGATCATCCAGACTGTTCATTTTTAACTTCAGTTGTTATTGCTTGATTTTTGGTAAATCTGTTTTATCAATGTTTATTGTATCATTTTCCTCAGCTTGATGCCCTCTAGGGAATTGGTGTTACAATTCTCATTGCCTAAGCTAACATGGCTAGTTTTAGGGATGATGGAAATTGTATTCAAAGCTTATGAAACATACTAGCCTAAGAAAGCTGGCTATAATGGGAGAAGGAGGTTGTAATAAGAGTACTATACATTTTGGGGGATTCTTGGTTGTGCCCTCATGGGGAGTATCAGAAGCACTCTAAAACAACTTTAAAATTCCCAGATGACTGTGTGGAAGCCTTCTACTCCATCTTCCACTTCTAAATTGGGTGGGTCATATCTATGTTGGGCTAACCCTCAAAGATACCTGACTTTCATCTGCATGGAAAATAATAATTTTAATGGGTGGGAAATAATTTAAAGTCTTTTTTCGTGACAATTACTTCATCCAGCAGGGCATCTGGAGCAGGATAGTCTTTCTTTGTATGGAGCAACTGAAGGAAGAGTCTTTTGTAAATGGATAGTAATTGAACTGGGCAAGGGAAGCTGAGATCAGATATAGGAAAACAAAGTAAATTATATTGGTTATTGGGAAAGTATCAGAATCTATGTTAGGGTGATGTTCTTATTTGATTGATACAGAGGTCACAAATATATGCCATTGTTGAGATCCTGAGATCATCTAATGAAAAGATCTGAAAAACATGAAATGTGTATATTCCAATTATATTTCAATTGTCCTGGAATAGATTTTGAGGTCTGGTATGGTTAAAAAGTGGCAGTCATAAGCACATCCTGAGCTCATCTCCATTCTGCAAGTTGAGGACAGAAATGTCTGGCTCCATGATCAAGCCGTTATTTGGGAATTGTAATATGGATGACAAGCCTTGGAAGTGATAATACCTTTCTATTGCACTATTTTAGCTCACTTGTTCTCATTTAGTTCACATGTTCATTTTTCTTTGCCAACTATTGAATCCTAAACTGTGAGTTCTGTATGCATTGTTTGAATTATGAGTCCTCTTGATTAAGTATGGAATTGATTAACCAAAAGGGTTTCTGTTTTTTCTTTAACAAATTCAGGGTGTCAGGCATCGGTTCAAAGGCAGCATCAATGCTATCAGAGTCAGAGCACCACAGATCGGAGGTAAGATAAGGGGCTTGGCAGTGGGGAATGGGTGTCATAGGCAATGCATACATCAACAGATTACAGTAATGAAGGTTTGTTATCAAGGAGGGGCTGGATAGTGGTTAAAGTTTTGGATGAAGATCAGGGAGAACCAGAATCAAATTCTGACACAGTGTTGAAGCTATGGGGTGACATTGGATCAGTCTTTTCAGCTTGACCTGTGTTGCAGGTTTATTATAAGGACTTAAGTCTCTGGATAAAAAGAGAGAATATAAATTTGGGATAGGCACGTGCAAAACTGTGTTGTCTATTTCTGGAATGTTCTGGTGTTCTTCAAGAACAAGATGTCCTAAGAGTTTGAGGGAAATGGTTTATCCATTTCTGGAAGTGAATCTTTCACAACACAAGTGCTTTGTAGTCTTCTAGATGTGGATCACCTCTTTCAGACAAAGTACTTTTTGAAGGCTCAGATGAGCTCATTTCTGAAGAAAAACTGAACATCGCAGGCATGGACCTTGCAATTTTGGAAACAGTCCAGGGTGGGTGTCCTGCAGTCCTCACCCTGCTTTCAGAAGTCTCTGCAAGCTGTCAGGTACGAACTGTCTATCCTAGCCTATAGTGAGGAAGACAGAGAAGAAGGTGGCAGAAGCAGAGAAAAGAGAGGGTGCTAGACAGAGAATTGGATGGCTTCACTTAGCCCAGAACTTGTTTGAACTCCTATGCCATATATATATAATTCTGAAGAAAGTGGAGCTCTTGGTTGGAGTTCTTACCCAATCCTAGTATATATTTATTTTTAAAAATAGACATCTGCAAGCAATGGAAAGTGGTAATCAATTGAGAAAAAGAGATGGTGGTTGGAGAGCTGGTTTAGGGGCTACTTCACTCAAGTTTACTTACTGAAATCTTCCCCAATTTGGTGGCCTTCAGTTGTGTTAGACCAGCTTGAAGAATTTCCAGCATGGCCACACTAGCTTGATATGTTGGAAGTAGAAGTCCAGCACATTTGATAGGCATCAGATTGGGGAAGGTTGATCTGTCCCATCTGGAACAGTGCAGTCCTATAAATGTTCATTTAAAGTAAGTAATAGTAACTTCTAAGTTAATAGTAACTTTAGAATTAATATTACCTACTTGCAGTAAGCTGCTATGAAATCTTGCAATAAACTTGCAGTTTACTTGTTGACCTTTACTTGTAGCTATGAGATCTTTCTTGCAGTAAGCTGTCATGAAACCTATGCCTGTGTAACAGTTTGTAGAATGAGACCCCACGTTAAAAAATACCAATGGAAGCAGAATAAAAAAATCTAAGTCATTTCCGTTTCCTCACACTATCCTATCTTGTTTATTCATGTGGTTCTATTTGCAAGAAATTGACACAAAATCTGAGACTGTGAATTAGTTTGTTTTTTTAAATAAAGGCAAAGTGTTTCTGTCTTTCAAGGTTCAGGTGATAAATTTAGAAATCAGTTGCTCAGGAGGTAGAATCTGTGAATTGCAGTGACTGCTGCCCCTTCTTGAAAAGCTCTGACTATATGCTTTGGGAATAACTTTTAAGATTCTGGCATATCTTGATCCAGTTCTTCACGTGCACAGAACAAATATTTATAATAAAATTGCTTAGTGTTAGATAGTGGATTCTTTTTATGCAAGTTATGAACAACTCAGCATCCAAGTATAGACTTCAAAGGTTTTCCCTCTTTCTCCTCCCAGGGAGCTTTGCAGTGTGGGGTGGGCTTTTTTCTACCATTGACTGTGGTCTGGTGAAGATGCGAGGCAAAGAGGATCCTTGGAATTCCATCACCAGCGGGGCACTCACTGGGGCCGTATTAGCATCACGCAGTAAGTGATGTTTCTTAGCTCTGCAAAATATGCACCACCCATTTAGCATCACTTTCTAAATGCTTACTTGGGGCTTATTAAATGACTGCTCTTTCATTTAGGTGGGCCGTTGGCCATGGTAGGCTCTGCTATGATGGGAGGCATCTTGCTTGCCCTGATAGAAGGTGTTGGAATTTTGTTGACAAGATATACAGCTCAGCAGTTCCAGAACCGTAAGTTATAATTCTGAGATTAAGAGGTCCCAGAAGGAAGGGAGAACTTTGGATTTGGGGGAGCTATGGACCTCTAAATATAGTTGAAAGACAAATCCCAGTCCTTTCTCATTGTTAGGAATGAGAAAAAGGAATGCTGGGAATTGAAATGTAATAATATATGGAGGGCCAGAGGTCTCTGGGAAGTATATTTGGAGTACTTTTTCATATTGTATTCCTTTTATGTGTAGGGGACCTGCAACCCTCCAAACACTGCTGAACAACAATTCTCAGCAGCCCCAGCCAGCATGACCAATAGTGAGAGATGTAAAACCTGAAGAGCCACAGATTTTAATCCACCTGCCCTTGTCTATCACCTTGTAATGATGCAATTTAGTGAGAGTTATGTGAACAGATTGTGAGTGGGGCCGTGGTGGGGAGAGCAGTATCAAGTCAATTCCACTTTGTGGTGAAAGAGGTTTTGGCTTTTCTAGGTTTTTTCCCCCTAAAAGGTAATGTTCCTTTGCAGTTACCCAAAATGCAAGAAGTGTCTCTTATTGATTTCCATGTCTCTCCCTATTCTTATCCCAGGTCTTGGTGCCTTTATGGGCAGGAAGCATGCTGCATGCCTGTCTTCCCCATCTCCTCTGTTTTCACACAACTTGTTATGACAATGGGCATTTTGCTAATGGTTCTATAAATGTGTGCCAGAGTTACACTTCTTCTCACACTGTCTGGCACCCTCCCCTTCTTTATTTACAGATTGACATTTCAATCTGAATATTCTGATAGTAAAAGTTGAGATTTTTCACTTAATTTAATGAATCACCTCTCCCTTAAACCCCCACCTTCTTTCATCCTGTCTTCACCGTTGTTGTTTCTGGTTCAGAAAGAGTTTTCCTCTGCTGCCCCTCACCATGAATGATAGTGCCCCTATTTTTTTGTCTGTCACTAATGGGTCCTTCTTTCCTTCTTAGCCAATCCCTTTGGAGAAGATCCCAGTCAGCTGCCTCCCAAGGATGGTTCACCACCTACAGGATATACAGGCTATGGACATTATCAGTGAACCAGTGTGGGGCCAGAATCACTTCTATTTTTGGCAGGGATGGGGCAAGATTTTTCCCCTTGAAACTAAGACATTCACCCAAGAGTGCAAACAAAGCATGGAAGGGATTTGGTTCCTGCAGTTATCTTTTAAGTTTTTGGGGGGCAAGGAAAATGGGGGGGTGAGCTGTATAATATCTACCTCTATGAGGGGTTAGGAAGCTTGCAGTGATGAAATGAGGTGCCCCAGGATTAATTCCATATGATGAAGGAACCAAAGCTTATTCAGAGAACTTGGAATCCTAGGATGATATTTGCCTGAAGAACTGGGGCGTGCAATTACAGTTACAGCAATTACAGTTACAGACTCTGGCAAATTTTAAAGGGCTGTTTCTTGGCTTTCTGGTGGAGTGTCTCCTCCAATTTTCTCTGTTGGTGGGAACTCCTCTTAACTTATCATTTAAAGATCTGTAAACAAAGCAGTGTGTTTTCCCAGACCTTGGGTGAAAGGGTGATTGTAACAAGGGGAAGCTATGTCACTATAGCAATTACCAGAGTCCCACAGGTGAAGATATCCTGTGATAAGCCTCTTCCTTGTAGGTCAGGTCCCCATGTACTATTGAGCCAGAATAAGAGATGCTGCTACCCTGAGTCCTCACCCTTTTCTTGTGTTTAATAATACTGCTTTTGCTCATTGCTTAGGTTTGAAAAAACAAGGTGGGTCAAAACAAAACAGGGTTCATGTCCTTGACTCAGCTTATGAGGGTGTTAAGTTGTATAGGCCTCCCTTGGAACCAAGTTTTATTCCAATAAAATGCTGCATCAGTTCTATCTTTACAACAACTAACCAGGACAGACTAGCAGAACAGAGAGTGTGTTTCAGCCTCTAAAATGCCATCTAGGATATTGAAACAGTGCTTTAGTTGTGGATACTGAACAATCCAAAACTCTTTTGAGATCCAAATTGACATTGCCCCTCCCTCCCTTGCCCATCTAAGCCAAGCCACCTCTAACCCTGCAGTATAATTTTGGTTTCAGTTTTATATACTTGGCCTTTGTGGGCTAAGGACCTCAATTCACAGTACAAAAGACCTATTAAGATAGGATTTAAATTCTACTTTAAAAATGTGTTGCATCTCCTTCTAATGCGAATCACAAGACTGGCTCTTTATAAAACAGACCTAGTAGTACATACCCTCCAGCTTGAAGATCTTCTGATATTGGGGCAATTTGTATTTCAATATCATTTTAAAGAAAGACTCTGTATTATGTTACAGATGTAAATACAAACCTGGCTTTTTTGCATCTGTCCTGGAGAATTTAATTAGCCATTTGACAAAAGTGATAGTTGTATGAGAAATGTCCCAGCAGTGTTGCATGAGGAAATTTTAGAAGCATTTGAACCAACTTGCTCTACTGTTCTAAGAAAAAAAAATAGGGCTGAATCTTTCTTCTGTTAATGAAAGATCTTTGATTCTTTTTCCCTTAACAAAGAGCACAATGCGGCCAGCAATATATTGTGTTTCACCCTGACGTTTTGTCCTCCCCTGTGGACAAAAAGTTTGCATACCCCATTAGCATTCATCATAAAGTTGGTGATTATTACAGTATTTGAAATCTGTCATGACCTCTTCAGGGATGGGTTTTCTATTGTCACAGACTTTAATTCCTGGGATGGATCTGAAAAGCAAACCAGGATAAATTGTTAAATGGAAATTAATCTCCAGTATCTGCACAATGTGCTTAAAAAGAAAGAAACAAAACCTCTACATCCTTAAGATTCACATCTGAGATATGGGAAGGGAAGTGACATCCTGTGTAGACTTCACTTTTGTCAGGGTTGTGAGAGACCTTACCTTGGTGGTTTTGACACGGTTTCCTAATGAGCACATCCAGCCTGAATTGTCAGGTAATGCTTTGCACTCCTCTTCAGCCTGGCAGGGCTCCATATCACACCACCACTTTCCTGTCACAATGGAGGCTGCAGAGGAGGGGGAGACACCTGTTACCATCCCTCCTTAGAGCCAGTGTCAACAACTGACATTGTTGCCTGGTTCAGTGTGGATATGGCAATTCAGTAGGTTTGTGGTCAAGATGGAGTACCTCTCCAGCCTCTCCGGGCCTCTTGGCATCAAGAGGTTACAGACCAGGGACAGATGGGACTTCCTGAATTCCATGCTGCAAGCAGTAGAGACTAACTTGCCTCCGCCCTGCCTGAATCAGGCTGTTTTAAAGTATCCTGCTTTATTGTGAAGTTTCAGGACATAGTATAAAAGTAAAGTTCCCCCAAGCATAATAAATTATTAATACCATCTGATGCCTTTTAAGACCACTATAACCACTACTTGCATCTTGCCTGAGAGAGCCAATATAGGACACACACAGTCTTCTCATAAAAGAAGCTACAGCTATCAAGCCCTTTAATCATTCCTTCCTCCTGCTTGCTAGGCTATCCTCATCCTCACCAATATCTGTTTATGCGTGTTTGGTGTTTCTTTTTTTTTCCCTCCCTCTCTCTTTATTTTGGATCCTAAGATGGATCCTAAGAGTCTCTTCCCAAGACTCCTATTGCTTGAAGTCTTGGTCCTTCCTAAATCCACTTGGCTTTTGCTGCCACTTGGGGTTATGGGTAGAAGAAGGAAGGTTCTTGGCTCCTAGCACTTACTATCCACACAAGAAGGTTTGCCACGGGTTGTCCCAGCCACTTTCCCTTGGAGGCAGGAGCATTGGATGGTTTGGGACCGTTCTTCAATATGGTTGCGGTTGCAGCAGCGTCGGACAGCAATCACTTTGCAGGTACCCCCATCTGTGGTGGGGAGTGATTGAGAGGGAAGATTGGAGGAGGAAGCAGCACTGAGGGTTTAGTAGTAAGTTTTTGTCTGCTGCACCTTTTTTCCCTAGCCTAGAAGAGCAAAGGTTCTAATCTCAGCTCTGGTGTCAACTTCTACCCCCCACCCCATATTTTGCCTCTTTTGATGTGACAACTACAAGCAAATTGAAAGATATCTGAGTTGCTATTTTCAGAACCAAATTTGGTATTACTTGGGTGGAGTTCTGATACTTAGAGGGCACCTTTAGTAGTCGCCTATCTCTGGAAGAATCCCATCCTCACACCTTAAGCGCTGAAGACTTAAAGTATACATTAATTCTATTTGTGTGCACATAAAAACAACTGGGGATCCTCAAATAGTGGTGTTAACAGATAATGCACGAACTATTGTCTAATCGGATAACTTAGGAAAAGAGTAGAGCCTAGGTTTCCATAATGAGGGCTGGAGTTCATGCCTTTTGCTCAGATACTCAAACCCCCTTCCCCAGAACAGAAGGAACTCACTGATCACTGGGATTTGATCTACTGCTGTCTGGTACCAATATTGATCATGATGATGCTGTTGACTCTGAATGGGGAACTCTTGAGCAAAGGTGCCTGGCTGCATGAGAATGATGGAAACCATTAAGAATGCTGGAAAAGGGTGGCACATCATGATAGATCTGCAAGAGAAGAATGTGATTGGATGAAGAGAGAAGGGGAAAGGAAGATAAAAGCCTATTTTACCTGATAGTTCTTATCCTTAGTTCTGGCAAAGTTACCACATTGAGGTGAATGGTTGCATCATGGCCATTTGGAACTACTTTTCCAAGAGAGGGGACGTATTAAAATGGAATAATTTGAAGAGAGCTTCTTCCACCTGTGCTTAGAAGGTGTGTCATTCCTGATGTACTGTTATAATTTGTTTTGAAGGTTTAAATTGGCTCTTGAGAGAACTTAGCTGCTAGGTCTTATTTGGCATCCTTGACTCATGGGGAGCATGACCACGTAGGCACAAGCTGACAGAAAAGAAAGGTGTTTTTTTTTAAGTAAAAACATGGAGATTATTTTATGCTACCTGTAATACCTGCATACCTCATTTCAGGAAAGAGTGCCCAGATCCCTGGGAGCCCTTTTCTCAGTGTAAATTCCTACAAAGCTGTCTTCAAAAAAAAAACAGTGGGCATGTATCACCAATATATTATTGTAAGTGTATACATGCCTGTTAGAAGTTATTAACTTTGAAAGTATACCATGCATCTACAAAACGGTATGTGCTAATCAGATGGGATTGTATATATTTGATTTTGCTACATCAAACTTTAAAACGCAAAATGAAACTAAACAAGGTTAACCTTTCCAAAATTATATATTTGCTACGACTGATGCAAATCCTATGTTCTTGTTTCTTTATTGGGCACATTCTCAATTATCCCAAACAAAATATTTTCTAAATTGCTTGACTTTCACACATTTGATAGGTGCACTAACATGCAGTTTGCACCCCAGTGCTGATCAGGAATTGTTTGAAGTCTGTCTGATTCTGCTTTCTGTGCTGCAAATTCAGGAGGGTATTTGTTTACTACCTTGGAACAACCTTACTGACCTGAATGGGCTTTAAATGGTTTATTTCTGAATCAGCACTTGAGCAGGTTCAACCAGCAGCAACACTTGTTTCAAAGGAGTTGCTAACAGCTTGTTCTTGTGTCAGGCCTAGGTGAAAGAGAGCAGAGTCAGCTCAGAAAACCAACCTAACTACAACAACAGTCCAGTAAATAATTGTTTATTTTCAACAAGGGTAACTGAAATAAGTTCATGTGCTGATTTTTACAAATACAAAGTATGAGTTGCTGGTGGAAGAGTTTGGGTGCAAATCATTTTGTGATGCTCTATGGGGCAATGTTAGTGCATTCATTCATTCTGTGGCATGATGAAGACCACCTTTAGTTCTTCAGCATGATCTATAGATCTATGCTTTGGGGGTTATCTGTTGGAAAAGCGATCTCTGGTAGTATAGACTCACAGTAATTTGGAATTATTAAGGGATGTGGAACTCCAGTTTGTCTAGAATTCTGGTCTAGAAGATTAATTCCCAGTTATTCAGCAGGCATCCAATGGGGGAAGGATGTGGAGAATTTACATCGATTTCAGTGATGGTTTTGGAAAGTTGGTGATCAAATAAAATTGTCCTGTGCATTAATGTTACTTCAAATTAGTTTCCATAAATTGAATTGCAAGTTTAGAAGCTTGATCTGAATGCATGGTTACTCATAAGGTTACTCATAATATAGAGAAGCCACTTCCCCAGCTAGATGACCTGACCTATCTCTTGGAGAAGCAACAAGGAAGCACCTTGATGGAGTAACAGACTTTGAAGAAAATAGTTTGCCCCCCCCATCATAAAATACAACAAAATTTGTAGACACTAATGGGATCAGAGCTAGCAGTGACTAATGAGGAAAGAGATCTTGGATTAATGAATGTATCAACACAGTGTGCCTCTGCTGTAAAAAAGGCCAATAGCGTGTTAGGAATAATAAATCATATTGAAAATAGAGATGCCAATATTATAATGACCTTATATAAATAAATGGTGTGACAGTGTCTGGAATATTGTGTGCAGTTCTGGTTGCTACACCTCAAAAAGGATATAGTGGAGCTGGAGAAGGTTCAGAGGAGGGCAACTCAGATGATAAAGGGGCTGGAGCCTTTATGAGGAAAGGTGGTAATGGTTGGGGCTATTTAGTCTAGAAAGGAGGCAGATGAGAAGGGACATGACTGAGGGGAAGAAAATTATGCATGGTGTGGATAAAATGGAAAAGGAGAAGCAGTGTTCCCCTTCCCAAACTACTAGATCCAGAGATCACCCAATATAATTGAATCTTGGAAGAATCCAGTAATGTATATAGCAGTACCTAATCAGATTGGGTATAAATTCCAGTCTAATAATTCCATCATTATTAGACCCAACCCAAGTAATTCCTGATTATTTCACAAGAGAAGACTGTTTACAGAAAGCATGTGTTCTCACTTGACCAAGCCAAATCGTTTAACTATCAGAAGCATTATTAGAACGGGGTGTCAAGACTGATATGTGGGATAATACAGCCATCGACTCAGTTGATCCCTCCAAACTGGTGTGGAGCCAGAGACAGTCTTGGAGGGGATGATGTTATATCTGGCCCCTAGAACCATAGATGGCATAGGATTAAATCTAGCCTGCAAAAAGCCCTTTTCTGTGCAAAATGGTATTAAAGAAATATTTAAACTCTTCTAGTAGTTGGGGGCTAAATAGCAGTCTTTCTGTAAATAAGAGTGAAGTTTATTCTGCTTCGACTGCTATGATGCTTTCTTGTACCCTTGTCGCAGCAAGAATTGAGCTGAGACGCCACAGGAACACTGTGATTTTCTTCCAGGGCAAAACTGAGAATTGGGGGCAGGGGGGCTAGACAGTCTCACAGTTTGATTTAAATCAGTATCTTAATTAGCAAATTCTCAAATGTACCTGTATAGAGAAAGATCTGCTTCCAGAGATGAGAGTATTTAACACACAATGACGAACATGAAGTCTAGCTCTCATAAACTTCTAAGATTCTTGAGCTCTTGTATGCACATACCTGTGTGCTATACAGTAAAAGGCTAAAAAAGACACTATATAAACAATGGGTTGTGTTATTTAGAATACTTTAAAAAAGTAGAAAAGGAGATATTGGTTGGTTAGTGACTTCAACTGTTACCATAAGCAGCATCTAGCCAAATGAAAATGCAGTGAATTGGTCAATGCCTTGTACGAGGACTTTTCAAGGAAGCTTCATTGAACATCTTGTGCAAATAAAATCAAAGTCCTGGATTTGTTACTCATGCAGGGATTAAAATGTGACAGTGACACTGTTCTATACCAAAGAGTTCAGAATGTGTTTCTCCTGCTGTATTATGTTATCCTTGTTGAACATGCTGGTGAGATAGGTTAGGAACTAACCTTAATCCTAACTTGGGAACTTTGCCCCTCTGCATTGAGAGTATCAAAGATTCGATCTGGTTTTTTCAATCCATCAAAATACTCTGCCCATTGTGCTCCTTATGAGTATCTTTCTCCCCTCTTAAGATGGGATGAAGTGTAAAAGAGGACAGAAATACAGAAGAAACAATCTCTTATTATGTAACAGGTATGTAATAAATGTTCTAAGCTTTCAAGTTTTTCTCTTACGGAGAATTGTCAGGAGCAATGCTAAATGGAACTGTAATTTTGCTTGAAAAATTGAGACATTTTTAAAATGGCTAGTTTGTTCCATAAAATATTGATATGGTTTATTATTTGCCTGCCACTTCTCCCTTAAATCATGACCTACAACAGTCTAAACAAACTTTAATAGTCCCCCAGGCCCCATTCCTCATGTACATATTTCTCATCTCTTACCTGTGATCCTGTCCTTGGTGCTGAAGTTTTCTCACCTCTCTGTCCCAGCCATGGCAGCAGGGTCCCTGGAGCCTGGAAGCATCCTTCTCTTTGTTCTGATTAATTCTCTTACTTGGAAGAGATGAAGAAAAATGTTCTGGGTGCTCACAGTTCTGGAACCAAAGTAACTGTTCTGGCAGCTTTGATCTGCCCTGATCATAACCCCCTTACAATCTTGCAACTCAACTGCGCTCTCAGCCAGATTTGGGGCTGGAACCAAAAGTTCTGGCTGCCAGCCCTCCTCCTGCAACCCAGCAGATGTCTCAGTATCTGTGCGAGATTTTGAGTCTGTCTATTCTTCAGCTTTGCTTTGACTGATATATGCGTACACGTGTATCTGTGTATGAGAGCTCCAGACTGCCTCTTTGCGCTTTTCTCCTTTATATTTTCTGTCCAAAGAGCCCTCCTGCTACACCCACGTAAGGCTGCCTCCTCCAGATTTTGTATCTGATACCACTTTTGCTAGGAGATGAGCCAGCTTTGATAGTCTTCCTTTCTTTGCCTTCACCGTTTCTCACTTTGGGATGAAGTGTTAAAAAATCGGACCCACAAAGGATGCAGCTAGAGATTTCTGTAGCTCTTCAACTCTGATATCCAGAAAGTCAAAAAAAGAAATGCCAGTACACACATGCAAATTAAAGGGATGTACTTGAATGTCCTGTGCTACTCAGATAGTCGTGCCCATTTTGCTGTCCCAGGATTGGTGACACACATTTTATTGCTGCTGTTATAAAACAATGAGGGCTAGGAAACTTTTCTTTTATTATTAAAGCATATTCTGATTTACCTTCGATTTGCAATATGTTCTGTATGAAAACACATGTGCAGAAGTAAGATGTGGTTATACTGTGCTAGATATGAATTTATAGCTGAAATTTCTGATATTTCGTTGCCTTTATCTCTTAATTTCCCTACTCTGGAGCTACATGGCCAGTACCAGCATATTTTATTTTTCAATCTTAGTGCCCCCCCCCCCCAGTTTGCAGATCCAAAAGATGATGGATGGATGGAGAGAGAGAGAGAGAGAGAGAGAGATTGCAGATATTATTGGTGGGGAGTGATGGGTACTAGTGAATCCCATTGTTTTCTTCTTCCCAGGACCAGTTCCATCATTAGCCACAGCCGGGTAACTGAGATGAGGTTGACAGACAAAGGTACATGTCCGCTTGTGCTACCATCAGCACTGCAATAAGATTCAACTACCAGTTGGTGGAATGAGGGGACACTGATTTGTCCTTTGTCTCGAATAGAAAAATGTCTTGGGCCTGCTCTGAATCCATCCTTCTATCTCTAATTGGAGTTATGAATACTCGCTCAGTTATGCTTTCCACCCTCTTCTTCCTCATCCTCATTCTGAATTAATAGGTTTTTCCACTGTTAAACACCATTTTCACCAATGTACAGTAGGAATTGTAATTGTCAATGTAAGCTCTGGTGTCAATTAAAAATGAGGGTGTGAGGAGCAAAATGTGCTAAAATGTCTTCCTAGACAAATCTAGGTTTGCTATGACCCAGTATCACTGAAGTGAGAATAATGACAAAGTGTGTGCACAATTTATTAATTAGGCCAGGTATGTATAGGCTCTAGCTGTTCAGTTGCTTAATGGGGCTTTGTGATGGCTGGCTTATACTGAAACTAGAGCTTTGCTAGTATAGCAACTAGTAGTAGACTAGTACTGGGGTTTCAAAAAGCCCATAGGGGAAAACTGACTTGCCTGGAATGTAAGCTACATTTTCCATCAATAGGGCTTTTATTTTTTTTAAGTGCATGAAGTTATTAGGGACATTGTTCCCTTGAGCACATCCAGACTACCTTTTCACTGAGATTAGGAGAGATGAGACTTTCATCTCTAAATGCTGCATTTTTTCCTTCTATAATCAGAAGGATGAGGATGAGGATTGGCTTTGATGGCAGGAATTGCAAGCTGTACGTGTTCAGAGGTGGAATCTCCATTATGATTACTCTTTTCAGAAAAGCAGATGCTGTGTCTCAGCAGATCTTGTTCAAAGCATCCCCCCCGCCCCAATACAGCTCCATCTCTCTAGGGCTCTTTGAAGCAGAACCACATTACACTCTTACGGTAGATAGCTTTCAATAAACATTTGGTATGCCACTCATGAGACACTGTCAACTACATTTTGCCAGATCCAACTGCCATACCATACTAAAAAGGTTTAGCATTTCTCTTCCAGCACTTACTTCAGATTCAATCACAAGAGAAGCAATAGAAAGGGAGTAAAGTTGCACTGTGTAGTAAAAAATATATACATTGCATAGAAATCCAAGTGAATGAATACAATGGTGCCATTGAGAGCATCCAGGTTAAAATTAGAGAAAGAGAGAATAAAATAATAAAAGAAAAACCTATTGTTGTCCACCACTGACCACTCAAATAAAGAGAAGCTATAGACAGTGTATTCCAAACACAATATTCAGATATTTTAAAGAAATATGAAATATTAGAGATTGGAGACCTGAAATACTCTGCCATTTGTTGGTAGACAAATTCAAACAATCCCGCCCAGGAATGAAAAATGGAAGAGAGCAGAAGAAGTCAGTGTGTCTGCACAGAAAGGTGAGGAGAAAATCTTAAAAGGAACGATTTTGAGAGTAGACAGGTCACCAAGGTTCAGCACCTAGAGGTAGAGATGGTGTCAGGAAAATATAAGCTCAGAATGGACCAATGGCTATGTTTAAAACAGAACAAAAAAACAAAACAAAACAATATTAATTGTTCAGTGAAGAATGCAAACAGACCAAAAAAAAAAAAAAAAAGTTACTCAATTCCTACTTTGGCTCAGTCGTTGAGAAAAGGAATTTGTTCCACTAGACAAATATGAAGAAAGCAATGGAAAACAATTCCAATTCCCAGGCAAGGAATAAGTTTGACAAACATAGTTAAGGAATATTTATTGACCTTGATTGAATTCAGATTTTCAGGGCCAGATAGAATGCATCAAAGCTACTAAGGAAGCTGATGAAGATCTGGCCAAATCTCTAGCCATTATTTTTGAAAAATCTGGAGAATAGGTGAGATCCCAGATGAGGGGAGGATGGCAAACATCCCTATCCCCCCAAAAGACTTGGGGAACTACAAGCCAGTCAGTCTGACATTAATAACTGGGAAGATTCTGGAGCAAATTTTAAAAACTATCTGTAAACCCCTTGAAAATAGTTTGCTAACTACTAGAAGTCAGCATGGATTTGTCATGGAGAAGCTTTGTCAGACTATCTTTATTTCATGTTTTGAACAGGTCACTTCCCTAGTTATGCAAGATTAGTCTGACGAGTAGAATGTAGACATTTATCTTGATGTCAGCAAAACTTTTGACAAAGTATCTTATGATGTTCTGCTTAGCAAACTAGATTGGTCTAATACCTAGACTGAGCATAAGGTGCCTTTGATTTGCCTTGTTAAGGCAAATTATGTTGTCTTCACCATGCAAGGTAACCTTGGTATTGCCTCTTAGCCTCCTCATGCTCCACAAGTACAGTACTTGAGGAATGTAAGAAGCAACACTGAGAGACTTAGTACAGCAAAAAAGATGATTGGTCCTTTTCAGCATTTTCAGTAATTATTGGATGTAGAGGTGGAGGAAAGACCTAACAGATCTGACATAACATTGGGTAGCATAGCTAACATCCTAAATTCAAAATAATCTGGGGACTAGAACTCACAGTTTCCTGGTTTCTAGCCTGGTGCCTTAACCACAACTCCAAAGTGGCTCTCCTACATCACCTAGTCCCATCCCAAATCGCAGGTGAGAAAGAATATCACCATATTAAAATCCAGGTGAACCAATAGAATACATTTCCACCATCTGTCATAGGACATTTAGTAGGGCAAATCCGATAGTCTTAACTGATAGTCCCATCTTAGGCACAAAGCCAGCTGGGGGACCCTGGACCAGTTCTTCTTTCTCAGCCCTAGGAAGTAGGCAAGGGCAAATCGCTTCTGAAAAGCTTGCCAAGAAAACTGCAGGGACTTGTTTAGAGAGTCGCCAGGAATCAGCACTGACTTGAAGGCACACACACAAGGTGATGTAGGAGGATGAGTCCAGAATATGCTGGAGGGAACTCCACCACCATCACTTTTGCCATGGTGAATTGAGATACTTCAAGGTTTCATCTACTTCCCTGTGATATCCAACATTTCAACCCCTGGGAGAAGCGAGTTGAGGTTTTATCAGTATAAAGATTCCACAGATGCAGTTGAAATTGGTCTGGTACCTGAGGGCAATATTGGGGTGGGTGAGATCTAAGAAACTGAAGCTTAAATTGGGATAAAGTAGAAATATTACAAGTTTGGAAATCGAGCCTGAAAGGTGGATTACATCTGATTTTGAAAGGAGTCATATTCTGCCTGGGAGTTACAAACATGCAGCCTGGGAATGCTCCTTTGCCTCTTCGTTGGGAGTTTTGGGGAGTTAAAAAAAAACACTAAAAAACTAACAGGTTTGTGGCCTGAAAAAGTTTGAAAGCCCCTACTCTATGGGGCTTCCATCATTATCCTTCTGCAAGAGATCCTCAGTCAACTCAGAGGCTGATACCTGTCTTTGGAACTGGAGTTCTGTACGGCTCTAATGGCAGCAGGTGGCAAGTGAAGCACTTCTGGTGATCCTGGATTTCAGACAAGGCGAAAGAAAAAAGAAGCCATCTTCCCATGATGAAAATTATAATACATACTTTCACCGGCGGTGGGTGGTGGGGAGGCATTGCTCACTTGATCTCGTTCCCAATACTTCATCCACCAAGGACACAGCCACCAGAGTTGTAGTTCAACAACATCTGAAAGGCCATCTATAGGAAGGGAGAGCCCTATTTATGGGTGGTAATATCTAAAATCCACCAAGGGGTGATAATATTTATTAGGATCAACTACATAAGAGAATGGGCCTAAGTGTTCCAGAATTCTTCTTCAGTTTAAATGGGGAAAAGCAGAGAAGTCCAAGAATTAATGAGTACTTTTTAATTGTGTTCTAATTCTTGTTCCTCCAATGCTCGCCTTGTCTTCTGTACCTCCCAGACTTTTGGAGAACTCGAAAGCTCTCACACGCAAACTTCCTTTGGGGAGGTTTGCTTTAAGAAAGGAAACCTTCAGGAACTGTTGGAGTTGGGTTGCTGGGCAACGCGGTCCTGTCTCTATAACCCGCGGCAAGCCGACTGCCTGGCGTAGAGATAGATTAAAAAAGCCACTCACGCAGCTATCATTTCCGGTTCCGATTAGACTCTTTCACGCTTGAAGCAAGGGTGGCCAAAGTATGCAGGCAACCTAAACACTTGTTCAACAGCTTTTTTTTTTTTTTTT